AACACAGATGATACCACTCTACCTGGTCATTGGGTGCAGGGTAGACATTGCTAATTTCACTAAGTTCCTATTTAACGGCAAATTCGAACTCAGCTTATTGGTTGCAATTTCTGGTTTTGGTGATTAAGCTTCAATTTGTTTAGGAGAGAACAAGTTCTCCATACTGAATTTTATAGAGATAACACTTAATTCTTTTACTAGATGTCTGTGTAGGGTAGCTCTAATGTCCCCTAGTGCAAGTGGCTACGTGTTTGCATGATGTAAATGTCAAGTTATCCAGGAGTAGAAGGAAGGAGCCTCTGTTTAGAAGGTTCAGTTTGGATTTAATGTGTTGTATTCAAATAGTCAGTGATACTGAGTACATTCAAAAGCCCAGAAGTTCAAAGTGTGCCCTTTTACTGGCTCTGTACACCTCCAGGTTTTAATAACAAATAATGTAATAAGCACAGAGTGACCGGAGCAGGGAACAGTGCGTGAATGCTAGTATTCCCAACACATGCAACACTTGAAAAGAACTTATGGGATAGCGTCTTTAGAGATTTGGTTATAATTGATAGAATTCTATTGTTTGATGAGTTGGCTACAATTACTGTAAACTTTTTCTTGAGTTCTTTGACTAAATTGATTTTGACTCCTTTGTTGTTGCTGTGTGCTGTCAAGTCAGAACTGACCCAAATAAAGGCATTTTATGAAGTCTCTGTGGTACGGTTTGGGGGCTGGGGAATGCTGAGCACTGTCCCAGGTGATTCTGCTTTGCTGAAGGACACGGCAGAGAAGGAAGCAGAGAAACTATCTTCCTTGAATTTTTTCCTAGCTCGCTCTACTGGTACAGTCTGTGGGGAGTTTGCTCTGTTAAAACAAAAGTAGTACTTCTCTGAAAGTTCAAATCCACCAGCTTTTCTGTGGGAGAAAAATGGGCAATGACATTGTGTATGATTGTAAGCTTTGGAAACGTGCTGGAAGATTGGTTTCAGTTCAACAGTAATAAGTTGATTGGTTAGTTTTCTACGTATAGCGCTCTCTGTCACACTTGTGCTACTGCCCCACCTACTAGTCTGGGAATAAACTTGACAATGGCCTTCTCTGTAGATTTGTCTTGGTGTTAGATTACAATCTTGAATTTTTCAAATACAGCTCCCCTTTCCACCAGACAGTCCCTCATCAACGAATTCGGTCATAAGCATTTTGACTTGGTGCATGTGCAACTTTTAAATCATAGGAAAGATTTTGAAAGCCTTTCCTTTGACTAAGGGATTTTTAAAAAATTAATACTCGGTAGGAACTGTATGCCTCTATTCAAACTGATCTACAAATTCTTAAAGGTACAGTCAGGAATGTATCTCATTTGTAACCTGGAGATTGACTGTTGTTATGTGTCATTGAATAAACTGATTCATAGTGACCTTGTGCACCATAATTCTGGCGCTGCTCTATCCTGATTTAATCCCACTGTCTCTAACACACCAATCCTTAGTACCCCAGTAGTGTCAGTCCGTCTCATCTGGGGTCTTCCTTCCTGTGTTCTCTAAAGACTAGTCTCTCCTGGCAACGTGTCCAGAGTGATGGGAGACAGTCTCAAATCCTTGCTTCCAAGGAGCAACTTGGCTATTTTAAAATGCAGCAACAACAAAAATACAGAAAATAAAATGGGTAAAGCAAGGAAAATATTGACAAAATATTCATAATCTTTGGCAAAGATGATAGATAGTTCATGTCACCAAACTGCCTCATAACTAGGTAAAGTTGTAATTTTGAGGAAGCATTAGTGTGTAGGCGAGATGCTGATTGTCTGTTGCTGAGGAATTGATTCAGACTCCTCGTAACCTTGGGTTGCAGATGGAACTGCTGTAGGAGCTCTGGGGCTATAAACTTTATGGGAGTGGACTGTCACACCTCTCTCCCACAGTGCAACTGGTGGGTTCAAACCCCTGACCTTTAGGATAGCAACCTAGCACTCTGCCACTGTGCCACCAGGGCTCCTATATACAATGTAGTGGCATTAATTATGTTTATAATGTAATTTTTTATAAATAACATCATTATTATTATTTTAATGAACATCTACAGAGATTTTGGAATTCCATTCATTCATTGTCGCACTTCCCCCCCCCCCCCCCCGAGTTCACTCCTCTCCTTGAAAATCAAAAGACAAACTCCTTCATTGGTACACAATCCCCTCCCCCCCCCCGCACATCCCCACTCCCACCCCAAGTATACTCCACTCTGCAACCCTCATTCTGGATTCTCAATGATAATCATAATGCCCTAAAAGATATTAATTTTAAACAATTCTCTCCCTCATCAGCTTCAATGCAGTATAAATAACATTTTTATGAACATTCTTATTAAAACAAAAGCTTAGTGTCTCCTGCTTCATCCCTAGTTGTTAGGAATAGACTTTTTGCTCTCATATCTGTTGTATGAGTTTAATTAACATGAGGTCATGTGATATTTGTCTTTCTGTGACTGACTTCCCTTTACCCCCACGCTGGCTGTTTGCTGTGACTGAAGCAGCTTGGCGATGGGCGTGCAGGGACCCACCTTGGCCACCAGAAGAGGCGCGTCCATCCCTGTTGTACAGGTAGCCGACCTCTCCATTGCTGACCCCAGGCCTCCGTGACCGGCTGTGTCACAGAGGTGTCTTGAGCTCCGTGAAGGAAAACAGCTGCTTTCACCTGCGTTTACCCGATGCCATGAGTCAGAAGCATTTCTCTCTTATCTGCAGCTCACAGATGCCGTGGGCTGATTCACGGCGGGCGCGTGAGTGACGTGCTGGGACAGGGACTCGAGCAATGCCGGCCTGTGCTGTCACCCGTCGTCATAATTGCTTTTCTGCACTGGATGCCGTGAAGGATATGTAATATCAGACCTTGTCATGTGATAAAGACATTTTGCCAATGATTCAGTCAATCTTCCTTCCAAGCACATTTCTCTTCTACTTTCTGGCGCAGTCTAGTCTTGTTTGGTGGTTTTGTTTTTGTTCGGGTTTTTTTAAAAAAATTTTTTTCAATGAAAATTTACAGGGACTTTGGGTTTGCATTCATTCATTGTTGCACTTTTCTCCCCTCCCAACCCTACCCCCTAGTACACTACCCTCTTGGAAAGTAAAAGAAAGCCTTTCATTGTTTCACAATCCTTCCCCCAGGTCCACTCCACTATGCAGCCTTCGCTCTGGACTCCTGTCATGACAAAAATACCTAATCACATATCCCTTTTAAACAATATTCTACCTCATCTGTTTCAATGCAGCATACATATTGAACCCATCTTTGTGAGTCTTCCCCGCAACCCCGAGGTCAGTCCTGTTTTACAACAGTGGCACCATGTAGTATTTGTCCTTTTGTGATTGAGATACTTCACTCAGCGTAATGTCCTCCAAGGTCACCCATTTTGAATAATATTGCATGAGTTCCTTGTTTTTCAATGTAGCATAGTATTTCATTGTGTGAATACACCACAGCTTCTCTATCCATTCGCTTGTTGATGGGTACTTAGGTTGTTTCCAACTCCTTGCTATTGTGAACAAAGCCACGATAAACATGGGTGTGCATTGGGGTTTTGGTTTGGTTGGTTTTTTTTTAAGCTTTTTGGCATTTTTATGATTTGTCCCAGTTTCGCCAGGAGGGAAGCTTTACTTTAAGGGTCTGTAATTTTACTGTCTCTGTTATGTTGAGTGACAATGAATTACTTTTGTTTTAAAATTTTTACTTTATATTTGTTTGCTTACAAAGTTCATATACCTTGTGTTTCACACTATTCTTTATTCACAGTGTGTTTCATACAATCATTCTTATACATTGTTGTATAAAATTAATCACCATTGGATCTTGCCCATCATTACCCAGTACCCTGTCTCTTTCAGGGCCCCATCGGATCTCTCCCATTACCTTTATCCACTCCCTCCACCCACCAAATTTTGCAGGCCTGTGTTAAATTAATTACTTCTCAATGGAATCATTATTTTTAGATAATCATTATTATTACTTTTAAAAGGAAATCCAGGTGAGCATCCTGCATACTGCAAGATGCGTTGTGTGGAAGTTGTTGTTGTGTGCTGTCAAGTCGGAACCAACCCACAGGTGACTCTCCAGTGGGTTTTCAGAGACAGATAATCGCGAGAGAGGAAATTAGTCATCCTTCTCCCACAAAGCAGCTGGTGGATTCAAACTGAGTGCCTTTGGGATTGCACCACAGCTTCTTACCACTAGGTCACCAGAGGTCCTACTGGTAGGAATGATTTGGAAGAGGTTACTTTAATCACCGTACTTGCATAAGTTTTTTATCCAGTTGCTGATCTGAGGCCCTGCATTGGTTTGCTTGTCTAATAAGAGACCCAGGTTTCAGTAAAGGTCATGCTGCTTTATCTTTCCCCCCCAGTTGCTTGTATAAAATAATTGTATCTGAAGGTTCTTCTTTTTCATTGTTTGTTTTATATTATTTGGTTTAATTGCAACAATGAATGACTGGAAACCCTAAGTCTGTAAACTTTCATTAAAAGAAATAGAAAAAAAATCTGTTCGTAATCAAGGTCCCAATCATAGTTTACATTTTATAACATTCCATGCTGTATTTTCATGTTTGTGTAGGATTTGTTTTTAAGAATTGAGGATGGTTCCTGATCCGTACGCTGGGAAGTGTGGTATTGAACAGAAGCAGAGGGTTGGTTTATGTAGTGTGGGTTTTCTTTCCCTCAATATCAGCAACTCTTCAGATCCTGGTAAACCCCTCAACTCAAGATAGAGTTTCTCGAAGTGTGGTTTCAGGCATCCTGGCATCAAGATCCCCTGGGGAGAGTATTTACAAGTATATTTGCCTGCTGGGCCCATCCCAACCTCTCGTACCTGGAAGCGGGCCTATTAAATAACTTCCCCAGGTGAATCTGTCTCAGAGTAATATTCAAAGATTGCTGAGGACATAGGCACTGTGGTACAAAAATCCTCTGTGTAGTGTACGTGACACCTTGCTTTTTAAAAATACCTGTTGACGGTGTTCTCCCTCAGGTCTTGTCAGTCACGTCTGCAGCCTGTTAACCGAAACGGCCACACTGTGCTTGGATGTGGACAGTCAAAGCAACATCGAGACAGCGTCGGCGCTGATGTGCTCTCTGCTCGAGATTCTGCTGGGCATGCTGACCTACACGTCCGGCGTGGTTCGACTGGCTCTGCAGGTACGTCTGGCGTCGTACGGCTGGCTCTGCAGGTAGACACCACTCTCCTAGGTCTCAAGCAACCCTGGTCTATGGTGTATCTTGCTTTCATTCTCTTCCTGTTTTTCTTCTAATGTAACCTTGTTTTTTTTTTAAAAAAGAAAACAAATCTTTGTAACTGGACAAATAAGCAACATCAATTGAAACAAAAGAAGTTGTCAAGGAGTTTCTTTTACTTGGACCCAACAGCAATCAGCGTATGTGAAAGGTCGTAGTCACGAAATCAGACCGCGAACTGCATTGGCGGAATCTACTTTGTAAAACTTTTATAAAGTGTGTAGAAACAGAGAATACCTTGAGGACTCAGGATTATACGAACCAAACCATTCTATTTCTCATCACTTCATAGACATTTGAAAGTGGGGCAGTCAATAAGGAACATGGAAGAAGAATCGATGCATTTAAATGATAGTGTTATTAAAGAATAGTAAATATACAGGTGACCTCCAGGTCCATGAACTAACACATCAGTCTTTTAAGAAGTACAACCAGGATGCTGCTTAGATGCAAAGGTGGTGACACTTTGTCACATGCTTTGGACATTTTATCAGGAGGGACCAATTCCTGGAATAGCACACCATGCCTGGCAAAGTCAAAGATCAGTGAAAAAGAAATATGGCCCTCAGCCCGCTGCACTGATGGTGGCTACACAGATGGGCTTAAATGTTGCCACAATTGGGAGGGTGGCACAGGATGGGACAGTGTTTTCTTCTGTTGTGCATGTTGTTTAATTGTTAGGTACTGTCAAGTTGAGTATGACTCACAGTGACCCTGTGAACAGTAGGTCTGAATGGCCTCCTGTTCTGTGCCATCCTCAGCATCCCTGATACATGTGGCCCCATTTCTGCAGACACCGTGTCAGCTGGTCTCGTGAAGGTCTTCCTCTCTCACTGACCCCCAGCCGTTGTCCATAGGGAGGTCTTTGAGTCAGAACCAATTCAATATCCCCTGACAGCAGCAGCAGAGGTGTATTCAGTTGATAAGGTAAAAGTAAGTTTGTCCTAAATCATCCCCTGGATGTACTCAGCTGCAGACTCAGGAAAGGAAGAGGTGTGAAGTTTACTATTTGTCCATAGAAGGTCATAATTGCCTTCACATTCTTATTTTTTTAATTGAGATTTTAATGAAAGTTTATAAAAACCTTGGATTTCCATTCATTCATTTTTGCAAATCCTCCCTGCCTCCCTTACCCCGCAGTTCACTTTTTTCCTTTGGAAAAAAAATTTTCATTGTTATACAGTCCTCTCAGTCCGCTTTAACATGCAGCTCTTATTCTGCACTGTTGTCATGTCAATAATATCTAACCATGTGCTCATTCTTATTTTAAAGAACACTGGTGGTGTCATGAATTACTTGTATAGTTGGTCATCAAAAGGTCAGTGGTTTGAATGTGTCACTCCGTGAAAGACAGACGAGCAGTCTGCTGCCGTAATAATCCCCAGCCTTAGCAACCCGAAGGGTGTTTCCCATGAGTCACGATAGACTTGATGTCTGTGGGTATTGGGTCTCACCGACTGAGTCAGCTGATACTTCAGTCTCACAAAAACCACACAGCTGACACTTCCATCACGTAGAAGGTACACAGCCAGTATGCATTCTTTGTTATGTTTTGAATATTTGCAAAATTGCAGGAGATACGTATGAAATGGTGGTGTGCTGATTTGATAGACACGGAAGCTGAAGGCAGACTGTTTTGACACTTTGCCAAATGTCACAGAAGTAGAGCCAAGAATGAATCCCTTGGCTCTGGGGACTAAAGTCTATGTTATTCATCATCATGGAAAATGGTCTCTTAACCACAGTTAAGCTGGCCTGTCGACTGTGCTTTAATAAATAACTTCAGGACCCCTTCAGTGGACACCGTAGATACTCAGTACCTGAAAATGGCCTTTTAGCTATCTAGTATTTTTCATGTGCTCATCTGTAATAGGGTCATAGGGTCGCTATGAGTCGCTGGCACTTAACAATAATAACATCAACATAGAGAGAGCTCTGTTGGCCTAGTGGACAGAAAGCGATGCTACCAAGCCAAAGTTGGGTGACTCTAATCCACGGCCCTCAGGCCTGTGTTTCATTGTTTTTGTTCAAACATTCTTCTAGGTCATATAGCCCTGGTGTGTCCACTTGCTGGACAGTGGTAACTTATGGTTGCTGTGAAGCTGAACACTGTGACACTGGTGTGTCTAATGCGAGAATGGTTATCCATGGTGGACAGTGTTTGGTGGAGCTCTCCTATTAAAACAAGCTTGGAAGCAGGGGTGACATCTACTTCCATAATAGCTTTCCTCAGGAAACCTGATGAACCTGGAGAAAGGATGAAAATGACACAGGTGTCCAGGTCTTTGGTTCATAGGGTCGCTATGAGTCGCCTACGACTCAACAGCACTTAACAGAAACAACAACATCTATAATAATACTATGCTTACAGTAAAGCTTTGTTAAGTAGTTATGAGCACTGAATTACGGATTTCTCTTAGCTTTTCTAATGAACCTCTCTCCAGAGAACGTTGTTTCTTGTTTAAGATTTCATAATGGTAACTTTACGGAACACTGTGAGACACAGTAGACACTGGCTCTCATAAGATGCGCTGATCAAATTGATCTCTAAAAGATTATGTCCTGTGGCTTGGAGAGAAAAAGGACCCGAAGTTAAAGAACTCGGGAATCCTCTTTTATCACAGGCGTTTAGGTTTCACTTGTTTAAAAGAAAATTCCTTAATATAAAATTGTGTCTCATTTCCCCCACAACTTTGATAGTATTCTGATGAGTCCTTTTTTAAAAAACAAAAACAAAACCCCAAAACAAAACAATAAAATACCCAGTGTATATCTTACTGTTGTCATATTTCCACATTTTCTCTTGTAAAAGCCACCATATATTATAACTTTGAGCCTCAGTTACTCCATTGATGTCCATGACACCCTTGAGGCTGAATTAGGGAGAGAAATGGCATGTGCAGCAAAGACACACCCTCCTGAGACATGAGACTTGAAGCTCTGTCTGAAATTGTAAGTTAATTTTCCCACATACAAACATACTTAATGATAGGAATCCTTTCACATTCAGTGTTAGGAATCCAGACACATTGCTGTGTTTGTCTTTTAACAGCAACGTCTCTAAAGGAGAAGAGCAGTATTTAGGTTGAAGAATTGTAGGGAACCAGTGCTTATAATTATGATAGTTTTTAGAGTTATGAAGCACGTTTTCTTTTCATGGAGAGAATGGTAAGGATGTGCCTTGGGGATGCAGAGAGCGAAGAAGGCAGAGGTGTGAGACACTATCAGGAGTGTACTTCCTGCCCTCCACCCGGACCTGTGATTAAGAATTGATCTCTGAAGGAAGTTTAACCTCCTGAGGGAGATGTTACTGTTAGAAGGAGTTAGAGACAGAGAACAGGCAGTAGAACCACGGTCTGATGTGAGAACTCAGCCTGGAATTCCTTGGCGTCAAATTCCAGTAATATGCCTCTCTTCAACCTCTATGACCCTGGGCTATTTTATTCATGTTTCTATCGACTTCCTTCTCTCTAAAATAGATAAGGTAATAACTAATGAATGAAGGAATAAAATATGTGTTATTGTATACCATCGAGTTGGAACCGACCCATAGCTGACCCTCCAGCAGGTTTTCAGAGGCAGTTAATCACACCGGAGGAGATTGTCCACCTTTCTCCCATGGATGAGCTGGTGGATTTGAACCGCATGCCTTGGGGATTGCAGCACATCTTCTTGCCAGCGATTCAATAAGGATTTAAAGCCTTGGCGATTCTTTGGGTCAGTTCTAGACTGTCCTCCAGAGTCATTGTGACTAGGAATCAACTTAATAGCACGGAATGTTGTTGTTGAGTGCTATGTTGTCTTCCCAACTCAGAGTGACCATTATGTCCAAGGGGCCAAACCCCTGCCCAGTCCTGCACTGTGCTCCGAATCTCTACTAGAGTTCATTGTTGTAATCACTGCATCAGTCCAAGCCATTGAAGGTCTGCCTCTTCTTCCACCGACACATTACTTTTTCAGGCATAATGTTGTTCTTCAGATACTGGTTACTTCTGACAATATGTCAAAGTTATGAGTCAAAGTCTTATCACTTATGCTGTTAAGGAGTTCACTGGATACACTCCACCCACGACAAGAGAGCTGTCAAGTTGAAACCAATGTATATCTAAGCCTTCAGGTTTTCAGAGGCTGTAAAGCACAGGCGGAGATTGCCTGTCTTTGTCCTTTGGGAAAACTGGTAAATTCAAACTGCCTGTATACTTAAGACTGTTCTTGTTGTGTGCCATGGAGTCCCTGGCAGGACGAGGCAGATAAAATTACAGCGGGAATTAAGAAAGACCTGATATTGGCTCTCGGGGAACTCTTGAGTTTAATAGAGAAGATTGTCAGTAAATATAGAATGGAAAAAAGATCATCTTACTACATTAGATGTGTGTGAAAGTGTATGTAACAGAGAGTGCAGTAAATAATGTAGAAGAAGAGTCTGATCCAGTATTGGGGACTAGACATGACTTGAGTATGGAAGGCTCTTAGAATCACGGTCAGTAGCCTATCCAGGCCGGCCCTTACCTGTCATTTCTAAGGTGCTGTATGGAAGCCTGTCTGGTTCTGTAAGGATAGGACATGGTTCAGGCCTGGTGTTCATAGGTCCACTGTGAGTCATAGTCACCTTGAAGGCACGCAACAATGTATGACAACTAGACCAATTACATTCCTCCTTCATTGTGACGGTCGTGTGTCGCCGAGTCAGAAGCAGCTTATAGCTGACCCTCCAGCAGATGTTCAGAGGCAGCAATTTACACAAGAGGAGATAGTCCTTCTCTTTCACTCAGAGCAGCTGATAGATTTGAACCACTCGCCTTTGGGATTGCAGCATAGCTTCTCACCACTCAGCCACCAGAGCTCCCTTATTTGCGGATCTGTTCATTTTGCTGAAAGACTGAAATATGTCCATGGCCTCTCTT